TTTTTTTTTTTTTTTTTTTTTTTTTTTTTGTGAGACAGGGTCTCCCTATGTAGCTGAGACTGACCTGGTTGGTCTGGAAATCACAGTGATCCTCCTGCCTCAGCCTCCAGAGTGCTAGGATTACAGGCGTGCGCCACCATGCCTGGCTGTTGTTTTTTAGTACTGGAGATTGAACTCAGGACCCTGCACTTATTTTTGTTGTTGTTGTTTTTTTTGGTACTGGGGATTGAACTTGGATCCTTGTGCTTGCAAGGCAGGTTCCAGAACCTCTGAGCAAAATCCCTGGCCCAGGACCCTGTGCTTGTGAGGCAAGTGGTGGCACCACTGAGCTAAATCCCTGGCCCTAGGGGTATGACTGTTATTACACATGACTTTGGGATGAAATACATGTCATTTATCCTATACATGTCTGCCGTGTGTGCCATTCTGCACGTGAGACTTTTTTTTTTTTTTTTTGGTTTTTTTGAGACAGGGTCTCACTGTGTAGTTCAGACTGTGTAGCCTAGGCTGGTCTCGAACTTGCAGTGATTCTCCTGCCTCGGCCTCCCAAGTGTTGGGATTATAGGTGTGCGCCATGTAAGACATTTGTGTAAATGTGTACACATCTACTTCACCTTGTGAGCAGGAAGCTTGTCTGCTCTTCAGAACAAGGGCTTCCTGAGGACAGAATCCTCCCTCCTCAGACTAGCAGTTCCTCCAAGTCAAAGTCCCTGCTCCTGTCATGCCCACCCGAAGCTGGGAGTCCTGTCCCGGCAGTGGCGGCTCCTGCTCAAAAGGCTCTCTCTTCCTGCAGGCCCTCAAGTGTGCCTGCCACCTCACTGTGCGCAGCTGCAGACTGCACTTGGATGGACATTTTCTCCAGAAGGAACCCAAGGGCAGGGCATCTCTGTTCTACTTTTCAGGCTCATTAAGAACACGTTCAGGGCCGGGGATTTACCTCAGTGGTTCCACTGCCTGCCTTGTAAGCACAAGGTTCCAAGCTTGATTCCCCATATTAAAAAAAATAAATAAATAAAATAAAAAAGAAATGTTCAGAGCACTAAAAAAACTAATTTTCTAGTATGGAAACATTCAATCATGCAAAGACAGACTGTGGGAGTATTTTTTTTTTGAGACAAGGACTTGCTGTATAGTTCAGGCTGGCTTTAAGCTCACTATGTATCTCAGGCTGGCCTCAAACTCAGAGCAATCTTCTTGCCTCAGCCTCCCAAGTGCTGGGATTTCAGGTACGCACCCCTCCCCGCTCAATGTGGCAGTATATTGAACCTCATGTCCCCTTATCTGGCTACCCAGCTGAAGAACTGTCATTTTTTCTGTGATTATTCCCTTGAGGTAAATTCTCATGATTAGAATCCCTTAGGTATGGGTGGAACTGTCACATGTCACAGGGGTAATAGTTTACAATACCCCCAGCAGCAGATAAGTACACCAGTTTCACAATTCCTCAGGCAATGACTATTATAGGTAATCTGGGTAAGAAGTGTCAAAACAATGAGGCTGCTTTCTTTCCTTCCACCTTTACCCCTTTCTTTTGCAGTGCAGGGGATTGAATTTAGGGCTTGTGCACTGAGCTATATCCCCAACCCTTTTTTATTCTTCTTTTTTTTTTTAGAGAGGGTCTTACTAAATTGATAAATTGCCCAGGCTGGCTTGAACTTGTGATCTTCATGTCTCAGTCTTCTAGAGTGCTGGAATTACCATACCACCTGGCTCTATTTCTTTTTAATCAAGTTCAACAGAAGAAATGACCTACTTGTTGGGCATGGTGGCGCACGCCTGTAATTCCAGCACTTGGGAGACTGAGGCAGGAGGATTGCTGTGAGTTCGAGACTAGCCTGGGCTACACAGTAAGTTCCAGGTCAGTCTCAACTACATAATGAGACCCTGTCTCAAAAAACCAAAAACCAAAATAAAACAAAAATAAACACCACCACCACCCCCGCCAGAAAAAAACCCAAAAAGAAATGACCCACTTATACACCGTTTGGGTAAGTGAGATGTAACTCAAATCATGTTTCTTCTGAGAATATGTCTGAAAACTTTTGATTTTACACACTGACATTTTGGGTTAAAATTTATTGTTTTTTACAGCATAGTATAATCACTTTTTGTTACTGGTGTTAAGGGTAGCATGGAGGATGTAGAGAGGAACTGGGAGAAGTGTAAGGATAACAAAGATAATCCACATAAGCATAAGAGATAATTCTGGCTGAGCTTTAACAAGTGTCTTCCCTGATACCTCCAACACAGCGCAAGTGAACTGTTCAGCTGTACAGGGACAAATGCTACACAAGTGTTAGGAGAATGGGTTATGAGCCAGAAACTTGGGCCAGAAATCCAATTCTCTCCTTTAAAGCACTAACTTATACAAGACATTTAACTCCTTGCTATCTCTGTCACCTTCTTAGTAAAACATGGAAAATAATGGAATCTAGTTCACAGGCTTGGTGTAAGGGTTACATGAGACAAAGACAAAGCTCTCAGCACTGCTCAACAGAATTTCCTGTAAGGACAGAATGTTTTGGATCTTCAGTCCAAGATAGTAGCTAACCATAGGCAGCTATGGCACACTTGAAATGTGGCTGTGTGACAAGACACTGAATTCTAAATTCAAATTAACTTTTATTTCTATTGTATGAAGTAGCCATATGGCTAGGAGTGAGCATAGCTTAGAACAATGCCTCTCATGCACAATAAGTGGACTTTACACACTCTCCTTCCGCTCCCTCTGCAGAAGTTCTCGGGCTGTAAAGCAGCCTGCAGAGACTGTTCCTGGGCCCCTCAGCAAGCAAACAGCCCATCCAAGGGGAACCCTGGAGGGTGGCCTGGCTACATTTTTGGGAGCAACTCTCACAGGGAAGGTTGTAAATCCCTTGTTGCTCATCAGCACACCCTTGCTAGAGGCAAGACTAAGCACAGGAGAGTGCTGTGCTTGGTTCCCACAGTGTGACTCCCTGAATCTAACCTCCAGGAAGGCTCCCATTTTGGAGTCCAAGACAGGAACACTGGGCCTCCCCACAGGACATGGCAGGTGGACCATGTCCTGTCAGCTTGACGTGTCACCCTCTAGAGTACCATTGCAAAGCACATATTTTAATTTTCTTGCTCTTTTTTTTCTCTGCAAGTAAATAATAATTGGGCTTACAAAAAATATATAGCTACTTTTCATGATACTTGCCAGCCAGGGTACATTAAATATCGAGATCGTAGCATCTGAGGACTTGAAAAGCTATTTTCTGACAGAATCAGCTCAATGTCTTCATTCCTTTGAAAACATACAGAAGAGATGCAAGTTAATTAGAACTGTCACTCTGAGAACTGCACATTCTGCTTTCTCCTTACTCTCATATGTACATAGAAGCACGTATGTGGACACTTTTTTCTGCTAACCTACAGGAAAATGACTTGTATGTATCATGTTATTGCACCCTTAAATATGTCAGTGCGCATTTCCTAAGGACAAGGACATTCTCTGACAGAACTACAGTATTATGATCACACTCAAATTTAGTTTCACGACAGCAGTAGTTCGGCAGACTCTTATGTCACACCCAGACTCACTGAACCGGAAACTAATTTTAACACGATCCTCAAGAGATTCACATGTATAATAAAACTAGAGAAGTACTGATCTTATAACCATTTCCAAAATTTCCTTTTTTTAGGGGCAGGGGGCCCATGGTGCAATCAAGGTTGATGTTGTCTCCTCTCACCCTGAAGAGTTTCTTCACCTTTCTGTTTCTCATGGCACTGACACTCTGAAGAGGATATGCTGGCTGTCCTGCGTGCCATGACCTGATTTATCTGGTTGCTTCCTGGTGGTAATGTTCCTTCTGACTCACATCAAGGAAGTACATCGCATTATTAGTCTCTTTTTTGTTTTTGAGACAGGGTCTCAATAGTACTTCAGACTGGCCTTGAATCCCCTGTGTAGCCCAGCTGGGCCTCAAACTCACAGCAATCCTCCTGCCTCACCCTCCAAGTGCTGGGATTACAGGTATGCACCACCATGCCACACTGTTATTAGTCTGTAGGGTTTACCCTCCTGTGAGTGCGAAGCACATATGGTAACACTACTCAGTGGAGTGGGGAGTATCCCTTTTCTTCATGATGTTTTACCCACTGCTTTTAGCATCCACTGATGATCTTTTCGTAAATCAATATTAGGCTGAAGGTTACACAACATCATCCTTCCCCTTCTTCCCTCTTTTATGGTGCTGGGGATTGAACCGAGGGCCTGGCACCTCCTAGGCAATTGCTCTGCGACAGAGCTATACTCCAGACCCAAATGGTGATTTTTCTAGTTTGACTGATCAATACCTATTTGGCTCTTCTACAAGGAAGGGCTTTGTTCCCTCAATTAGCATGTCTGTGTTCTAATAATCTATTATTACCACTGTTCTTTTACAGCGATCCTCCTGCCTCAGCCTCCGAGTGCCGGGATTACAGGCATGTGCCACCATACCTGGCTGCAACTGTTCTTTATTATGCGCAAATTGTCCTGAATTTGACAGTGACTAGCTTTGTAATCTAGTTCTGGTATCCTTTTGGCATGTCTTTAATTTTTGAGTACTACCCTGTATCACTAGCATAAAATGGAGTAGGCTTGCCTTGAACTTTCTCTGTGCTAGACATGTAATCAATTATCCAAAAATTTTTTTTTTCTTTTGCAGTACCAGGGATCGAACTCAGGACCTTGATGCTTGCAAGGCAGGTGTGATGCCACTGAGCTAAATCCCCGACCCTTATCCAAAACAAAAATTTTTTTTGGGGGGGTACTGGGGATTGAACTCGGGTCCTTGCTCTTGCGAGGCAGATGGCAGAACCACTGAGCTAAATCCCCGGCCCTATCCAAAATTTTTTATTTTGAGAAGGGTCTTTCTAAGTTGCCTTGGCTAGGCTCCTTCTCAGCCTCCCAGAGTGTTTCAAGTTACAAGTGTGCAACATCATGCTGGCCCCACTTCATGTTTATAATCCTCTTTCTCTAATCAATGAAGTTGGAGTCAGTTTCAACAGAGGATCGTGTTAAAAAGTTACCCAAATTGGCCAAGTGTGGCTACATAGTGAGTTCAAGGCCAGTCTGAACTACATAGCAAGACTGTCTCAAAAAAGTCATCTAAATTACTTCTTTACACTGTGGTTATTTTTACTTTGATATACACATACTCATTTTTGAGGGTCTATATTTGTATTTTCCCATCTTGTTGATTTAATCTTTTTCTTCCTACTACTGGGGATTGAGAGACAATTGTTCTACCCTGGGCTGTACACCCCAGCCCTTTAATTTCTGAACACAGTCATTTGTGATGGCAAAGGCCTATAATCCTAGCACCTGGGAGGCTGAAGCAGGAGGTACCTGCTAGTTCTAGTTTGACCTGGGCTACACAGTGAGTTCAAGGCCAGCCTGAATTACAAAGTGAGACTTTGTCTCAAAAAAATTTTGTTTTTGGATCGGGGATTTAGCTCAGCAGTTCTGCCACCTGACACCTACCTCACAATTGCAAGGGCCCCAGTTTGACCTCTGGTATAAAAAAACAATTTTTTTTTGAATATGTAAAATACTAAGAGTCAAAACTATGTAAAATGGCATATACTGTTTCATATCCTAATTTTTTTTTTTTTAAATCCCAAGTACTGGGATTATAGGCATTCACACCATCCCTATTTTTCACATCCTTTTGTTTTGTTGTTTATTTTTGAGACAGAGTCTCTCTAGGCAGTTTAGACTGTCCTTGAACTTGCTATGCAGTCAAGGCTGGCCTCCAACTCATGATGATCCTCCTGCCTCAGCCTCCTGAGTGCTGGCACGCACCACCACACCTGGCCATTTGTCACATTTTAACACAAGAACACTGAGACAATCCTGACTTCCATTTTCTTCAATGTATGAGGATGTGAATGTGTCAAATGAAATCCCCAAAATAGTACAGAATACTGACACATGGGGTCTCCTTGGTGAATTCTACAAAGCATCTTTAGTACTTTAGAACGTGACTTTCAAAAATGCTCAGATCTTAGGTACAGCGGAGAGACCCTATGGGCCACAGGCAGAATGCAGCCAGTCCTGCAGAGTGGAGTCTGGAGAAGTATACCTGGTGACAATCCCATTTTCTGCCAGAATGAAGGCTGCAGTAGGGTTGGCAGCTCTGAAGAGGCTCTGCAGCTGAACAAGGAGAGGGTGCCTCTGCTCCATGGTGAGACTTGTGAACACGACGTTATTCACCAGGCCTGTGGAATGAAACCAAGAACAGTTTCACCTTCTGAGGCCCAGTGGGTTGCTAGCTCACGTGAGTGTGGGCTTTTGCTCCTTGCATCCCTTCCGTACCTGCTCACCAGCACTGACATGGACCTAGGTGTCATTCTGTCCCCTTTTTAGGAACTGCTACATCTCGCTCAGTACCAGGGATTGAACGCAGGGCCTTGCCCTTGTGAGGCAGGCGTTGTGCCACTGAGCTAAATCCCTGGTAACTGCAACATCTTATAGTGAACAGTTTCTACCCTGCAGCTGCTTCCCTTCCTAACCTTTTATTTTTGGTGACATTGGGGTTGGAACTCAGGGGCTCCCATGTAGTCCTTCTCTACTACTGAGCTACAAAGTCTAAGTGGCCCAGACTGACCCTGAACTTGTGATATTCCAGCCTCATCCTCTTCTGCAGATGACTTTACAGGCCTACAACCAAGCCCACCTCCCCTACTTTCTTAAACTAGGCTTTCTGGTTGTTACCTGAGTTCTTGAACAAAGGGCCTTTTCACATCCACCGTATTAGAAACTGGTGCCATTTACCTTTGCCAGTTCAGACAACAGCTTTCTTTCTCTTTCTTTCTTTTCTTTTCTTTCTTTCCCTTCCTTCTTTCCTTCCTTCTTTATTGAGACAGGATCTTGCCATGTAGTTCAGGCTAAACTTGAAACTCACTATGTAGTCTAGGCTACCCCAAACTTGTGGTAATCCTCCTGTCTCAGCCTCAAGAGTGCTGGGATTATAGGTGTGAGCCACCACGCTCTGCCCAGACAACAGATTTATTTGCCAGCCACTAACTGTATATCAGGTGTCAACTATTATATTCTCAGAGAGTGCACAGCCAAGGTTTCACACAATTATCAGGTATGTGCTGGGACAGATATTCACCTGAGGACATGGTAAGAAAGGGTCCATTGAAGGTGAAGCTGTGGAGCAGCTATGATCATCACACCACTCCTAACCTTTTTGTGCAAAGATAGATATAAAATTCCTAAGACCATGGAGAATCAGGAAATCAGGAAAGTCACTACATTGCATCATTCTAACATATTTAAATGTCTCATCTAATTTCTACTTTTACGTATTTATAATCATAGTGCTTATATAGCTTTGGTATAAGATCTTTTAATTTTTCATTATAATTTTTATTTTATTTTAAACACACACATATATTAAATAGAATCAACTCTCATTACCTGGCTTCAAGAATTAGCAAGAATTGACTAATCTTATTTATTTATTGATTGATAGATCAATTGTGGATTGAACCCAAAGTCTTTACATTGAGCTGTGTCTGCAGTGCTTTTTTGGTTTGTCTTTTTGAGACAGGGTCTCTATTTGTAATTCAGGCTGGCCCTGAACTCACTATGGAGCCCAGACTGGCCTTGAACTCAAGGCAATCCTCCTGCCTCAGCCTTCCAAGTGCTAGGATTACAGGTGTAAACCACCATGCCCAGCTGTAGTGCTTTTTTTTTTTTTTTCAATCTTGAAACAAGTCTCACAAAGTCACAGAAATGTTCAGGCTGGCTTGAATTTGTGATCTTTGTATCTCAGCTTCCTAGAGTGTTGGGACTATAGGTATGTACCATCTATACCTGGCTGACTAATTGTATTTCATCTGTACCATACGCTTTAACTTTTCTTCTCCCTCCCCTAGTGGATGATTTTGAAGTCAACCCTAGATATTCAACTATTTCATCCATATTTTAGTATGTGTCCCCATAGTATAAGGACTCTAAGAAAGCAATGATTAATAAATTCCTTCATATAAAAAGAATTCAGTCTATCTTCATGTTTCTGTTTCATGAAATTTTTCTTTTTTGTACCAGGGCTTGAACTCAGGCACTTGCACTTGCAAGGCAGGTGTGGTGCCACTGAGCTAAATCCCCAGCTATTTTTTTTGAGACAAGGTCTCACTATATAGTCCAGGCTGGCCCTGAACTTGTGGTGATCTTGCCTCAGTCTCCTGAGTGCTGGGATTACAGGCTTGGACCACCATGCCTGACTAAATTCATAGTTTGAATGAGCTACAATAAGTAAGTTTGAAAGCAACTTCCAGGATCCCTGGTTCCCTGGTTATGGTTTGAGGGAGACACTATTGTTACATCCTTCCTCTCACCAATAACACTTATGAAAAAGGTACTCCAAACTTTCCAGACAGACTGTAACCTCATAAACCCATCTGTTATGCATTCCACTTAAGACTGGAGACAGGGGCTGGACGTGCTCATGCCAACAGGGACATGTGACAATGATGATAAAACCCACATGCAGTGTTTTGCAATGTGACCGAGACCCAGGACCATCAGGAGTCAGAGCTCACTGCTGCAATGCTGAGTATAGAACTTGCTTCCTTACTGCTTAATGCCTGTCTGTCCTGCATCTGTGAAACCTGAGTCCCACTCTCCGTAGTATCTGTATGAGCTCCCCTTAGGCACTCTGGCTCCTGACAGCACTTCACAGACCATTAAGGATTCAAAGATGAGGTTCCCAGTAGCTCTCTCCTAACTCCATGAAGTAACTGGTAAAAGGTATACTAACCTGAGCCCTCTCCTCCTACTCACTGTCCCTTAGCTAGGGAAGCCTGGTGAGCACTAAAATCTCTGATCCATCCTTTACTCAATCCCAGGTCAGACCACTACTCTCTTTGCTATGCTACTGCTTAGTTTCTACTTCCAAACTTCCTTTTCTGTAATTCTTTTTTCTCATTTTTTAGCCAGGGCCCCACTAGGTAGCTGGGCTGGCTCTGAACTCATGATCCTCCTGCCTCAGCCTTCAAGGTAGGTGCTGGATCAAAGATGTGTGCCACAAAGTTCATTTTCCTACTGTAGACAAAATAATCCTTCAAAAAGAAAAATCTGAGCCTGTCATTTTCCTACTTGTACTATCTCAATGAGTTCAAAGTACTGATGATTAGTCTCTAGAATTCTTGCTTGCCTGACCTATCTACCATGCAGGACTTCCTCAGTGCCCTGCTCCCTGTTCTAGCCAGGTTTTCATTATCCTGCCAAGAACCACCTTTTCCCTTCTTTTTGTTGGGCAATTTCTCCTTTTCAGGACAGACAACTCGTTGATAGCACCTCTTTCAAAAGAGCCCCTTATGCCCAAGCTTGGGTCAGCCCAGGTTCTGGTAAGTATTTGTTGGTCAGTCAGTGAACTAAGTATAATGAAAGACATGCACCTCGACCCAATCATTTACTAAGCTGGAGGCATTCACTCTCACAAGTTCTACACTTACAAGTCTAAGCAAAGAGTCAAATGAAAAGGTTTTTAAGACCTGGGCCATGGGACAGTACAGGGCCTGCCTGGCAAGCACAAGGCCCTGAGTTAGATTCTTAATGCTGCTAGGTGTGGTGGGGCAGGCCCGTAATCTCAGCACTTGGGAGGCTGAGGCAGGAGGATCATCACAAGTGCACAAGGCTAGACTGGGCTATACAGTGAGACCAAAAAAAGAAAAGACTTAATGGTATTCATAAGCACATATGTGGGACAAATTTTATTAAGGTCCAAAAGCATATTTAGTAAAATGTTTCTTCTTCCCTCTTCCTCTGGTGCCTTGAGCCCTAGTTCTCCTCCCAGAGACAACTATTATCACTAGTATCTGAGCACACTTGCTCCCATCTCCAGGTGTACAAGAAGATAGGCATATATGGAATCACTTTTCTTCTCCCTTCTCTCCCTCCCTTTTACATGTATGGGAGATTGAACCCAGAGTTTTCACATGGTGTCACATCCCCAGCCTGCCTATCCTTCCTTTCTTCCCCCGCACCCCTGTCTGTGTGTCTGGTTTTTGTTTGTTTGTTTGTTTGTTTTTTTGGTACTGGGCTAGGTCCTTGTGCTTGTGAGGCAGGTGGGTGGAATCACTGAGCTAAATCCCTGGCCCTTGTTTTTCTTTTTGAGACAGGGTCTCACTATGTGGTTCAGGCTGGCTTTAAACTTACAGTGATCCTCTGGCCTCTGCCTCCTGAGCACTTTCGGAATCACAGGCATGTGCCACCACACCTAGCTGTTTTATATTTTGAGACAAGATCTCATAAAGTTGCTAAATTGTACAGGTTGGCCTCAAACTTGTGATCATCCTGTCTCAGCCTCCCAGACTGCTGGGATTACAGGTGTGTGCCACCACATCCAGCTAGTAAAACTGTCTTCAGGATCACATTTTTTTGAGTGCTTCTCCCACACTCAAAATCTTTACCCTCTAGGTCTTCACGATGATTGAGTAGCCAGGGAACTCAAATGGTGAACACCTCAGCACCTTGTTTCTTCTTCTTTTTTTTTTTTCTTTTTTTCTATTCTGGTACGAGGAATTGAACTCAGGGGCTCGAGCTTGCCAGGCAGGTGCTGAGATGCTGAGCAACAACCCCGGCCTGTTCCTTCTATTTTAAAGAGGCTCCCTGTACACTCTTTCTGTACTGAAGCTTTTCCAGTGCCAGGGAAGCCTCAAATGAGTGACACTGGTGGTGCCTGTGCTCCGACTCCCAGTTAGCAAGGCCACTGTAGAGATGTCTGGGGAACAAGAAGACGCGCCTGGAGAGCCTGACTCCAGAATCCCATGCCTTGGTGCAGCCACAGGAAGTCACTGGAACTTCTAGAAACTGAGTAGGACAAGGTCAAAAGGCCATGCCCCAATGTAGCACCACTGGCAAGCAAACTGGATTCTGGAACACTCAGCCCATGCCTGGAATGGCAGACAAGGAAGCCGGAAGTGATAAGGGGCCCAGGAGACTCCCAGTGGTGGAAAACAGTAATAGTTTGGTGAATTTTGCAGTGAGGAGCCAGGAAAGGCTGAATGAAGAACCATAAAGGCGCGGAGCCTGGTATCTTGTCTTTTTCTTAAAAAATGAGACAGGAACTTGCCATGCAGTTCAGGCTGGCCTTGAACTCACTATGTAGCCCAGGCTGGCTTCAAACTCATGGCAATCCTCCTGCCTCAGCCTCTTTAGTGCTAGGATTACTGATCTGTACCACCATACCTGGCAAATCTATCTTCTTTGGCAAAAGAAATGGGAGAGCCAGACTAACACAAGTATGCTCAGCTGAGCAGGGCAGCAGGATTACAGGCACAGCCTAGTGTGCCCAAGAAAAAGGCTGAATGAGCTCTAGGTATCTGACAGACATATCCTGTCCCACGTTGTGCCTGCTGCATGTGTACCATCTGGACAAACAATGTAGCGTTGGCATTTTAGACCAGTGACTGGGCAAAGAAAAGAGACTCTGCTTCACAGAGAAAGAAGAAAGAGGATCATCCCCAGCATTCCTTAGGCCAGCTATGTAAACTGTCGCTTGCCAAGAGGAAATGCCATCTGTGAAGCTGGTGAACAGGGTAAAGTGGCCACAGTGAGCACTTGCGTCTTGTCTGGGCCACAGTGTCCTTCTGTTCGGTGCGAAGGAGTGAACACCCAGAGCAGCCTCGTCACACTAAGTTCTGGGTGAGCAGGCAGTCTGGCTGGCCCATTCCTGAACAGAGAAACATTCTCATGGTTGGGGTGTCCTGGCCTAGGTTAAAGGCTTCCAGAATCCCCAGAGAAAATAAAAGCCACTTCGTTTACCCATAGAAACTTCTTTTTTTTTGTTTTTTGTTTTTTTTGGTACCGGGGATCGAACTCAGGTCTTTGTGCTTGCGAGGCAGGTGGCAGAACCACTGAGCTAAATCCCCCGTCCCAGAAACTTTTTTTTGAGACAGAGTCTTGCTATGTAGCCCTGGCTAGCCTCAAACTTGTGGCTAACCTCCTGCCTCAGCCTCCCAAGTGCTGAGATTACAGGCATGCATCATCATGCCTGGCCTCTAGAAACTTCTGAAAGCAGTTCATGGCAGTATAATATCTCCACTTTGCTTTTAGGTCAGGATTTTATTGAGTCCTGCACACTGTGTAAACACTGAAATTGCTTCTTTGTCCTTGGATTTTTATAAGACACACACATCATCTTTGGCTACAACGTAGTCCTTTTCTCATTGTAAAATAATATTTTGCTGTTAAAAGCAATGAATCAGGGAATCTGGCTTATGACCAGAAGCAAAGGGAAGCAATATGCTCCCCTGGGACATGAAGCATTTTGCCAGGTATATGTGATAGATCCCACCTCCAAGTGAACCATCAAATCTCATCTTGTTCTCTAAGTGAGGAAAAAGGAAATAATGGCCTTTTATCTCTCTTCTTCCCAGACTGACCATACCCAATTCAGGCTAGTCCATAGGATTCTGTGGGCCCAAAGGCAAAAGAAAGACATTTACCAAAGCACTGTTACTCCAGGAGTCTCTTGGAGTTCAGAAAACAGCACAGAAGGCTTCAAGATCATCTGCTCATATCCCTAGCTTTATACAAGCCCAGAATTTGACACACATGGCTCTTGAACAATAAGTTGGAAGGCACTGTTAATGACATATGCCTTCCAACCTACTTGCCCTAAGCAAAGTGACATCGAACCTTTTAGAGCTTCCAATGATAACAGCTGGCTGTAGCATGAGGGCCATACATTCGCCACCACTGGCCTAACCCCTTAGGCCATACTAGAAGGGGCTTGAAGACAGGGGATTTTCCAGTGCTCTCTCTCAGGGAGGCCTGACCATGATGCAAAATTGTAGAGGGGCACTAAGGGAGAAAGTGCCAACAAGAAAGTGACACCAATGTTTATAAGAATGAGTCAGGTGCTAGGACAGATCAGCAAGTCTTGGCCCAACTACTGGCCAACACCATTAATCAGACAAACACTTTCTCACTTCCCTGGAAGATATCACTTCTTGAGTCAACCTTCACTACCAGTCTGGGCTCCCAGAACCTCCTCTACCTAGCCTAGTATACTTCTTAGCCAAAAGGCCAAGAAATGATTCTACCTAGCTTAGTGGCTCCTTCTTCCAGCACACTGGTTTCTCTTCAGCAGATTGGGAGGAGCAAGTAATTCAGAAATCACAATTTTCTTTTTTTTTTGTTTTTAGACAGGGTCTTGTTGTGTGTTTATTTAGGCAGGCCTTGAATTCATGAAGTTTCTCTTGCCTCAGCCTCCTGAGTGCTGGGATTGGTGTTGTGCATCACTATGCCTAGCAAAATAACACTTCCTGAAAGATCTTCCTCTATCATACTTTTTTCGCAGCCCCAAATACTCTAATACATCATTTACACTTGATGGCATCCAGTACCTCACTGGCTGGCTGTTAGTTGACATGGACTTGGCTTCAGCCGTCACCTGTCCTCTTAAACATCCTGCTGAGGTAACTAGTGTCCTTCACATTTGCAAAGCCAGTGGGCTTCCTTCTCTCTTCTACCCAAGGTCTCTGGAACATTAAACCTGACTCATCTTTTTCTTTCTTTGATGTGTGAAGCAATGCTTTTTTCTTCTTCTTTTGTGTCCTGGACTTCCCATTTCTCTCCACATCCCTGGCCTTCTGATCTTTTCAATTCCACACCTAGAAACTGGTTAACTACAGTCCATGCCCTTGACTTTGACATGACTTCCAAATATATAACTTAAGATCAGACAGCCCTCCTTGGTTTATCCTAGACTTATTTTCTCTTGCGCTATTTCAAGGATAGGTACTGCCATTCTTCCCAGTCTTCAAAGCTGGAAACCTAGGAGTCATCTTAGATACCTCTTTTTCCAGCTCATGCCCCACGTCTAGTTTGCCACCAGATCCTACTGACCCAATCTCCACAAAATCTCAAGATTGTCTCCTTAAGAGTGTCATCTCTACTTGGGTGACACTGTGGACAGAATGAGTCAACCTCCACTTCACCCAGCTTCTAGGGTGCAGTGTTTGGAAATTAAAAGGGGTCTCTAAAAGCTACTACCTAGTAGAACAGTCCAATATACACATTTCTTCCCCTGGGGACCAGCCTCCAGCACTAGTCAGCACACAGCTTAGCTGTTTCTCAAGACAACAGCACTAGTATGCTGCTGTCCCTGATCCTGGCAGACTACCAAAAAGATCAACAGGACACAACTGTGCTAAGGAGAACAAGTTGTTTTCTTCCATCAGATTTCTATTTCCTCCAGGACTAGCTCCTGACAACAATGAGCATTTCATCACCACTGCAGGAAACTTACAATTTATTGTGGATTTCCTGGTATCACAGATTATATGACTAGAAAGTGCTGCTTCCAGGGTTACTAGGTAGTAGGGTAATGGAAGGTTGAACAAACCTTCAGGATGGAAGGATTTTTCTAATGTTTTCAAAGAGATGTGGAAAATTCCAGTGCGCGTAGTGGGGGTAAGTATTAAGGACTATAGGTTCTGATGGGCTGAACGAACCCTACTCTCTTGGCCCAGGATATATTGATTAAAAGTTTGCTGATAGAGTGGACCAGAATACCTACTCAGTCCACTGATTGCTTGCTACAAGGCTGGAGCAGACATGAGCTCAGGAGTGGTACTGCTGTGGCAGTTTATTGCCATTAAAAGAAGAAATCTGTCCACCAAATATGATAAAAGAAATAGTATGTCAAAGTCTCCCCTGGACTAATTCTGTTTACTTTCTATTGCATCTGAGGAGAATGTGAAAGGCATGTAGGTAGGCAAGAAGTAAAGCACATTTCGTACCTTGTGAACACTGGTCGAGACATTTCGGGAAGAGAAATCTAGGGGAAAAAAGAGAAATATGTTAAGAGTCATTCATCTGAGAATTGTTAGTGACTATTTCCCACAAAAATGTGACTCAGTTTGAAAGCCTTGGGTTCAATCCAGTACCATACTCAGCTATTAACTTTATTTTTGGTCGTAGCTCTCATAATTGTTATTGTAACCATGTGCACCATGAGCTAAGCAATAAAGTATTTTTTTGCAACAGAGCATTAGTAAATCACTTTAGTACATTACTTTTTGGAAGAAATTCAGAAGTAATTTCTTATTAATATCTAAAACATGAGCAAATCACTAATTCTGACTGATTGATTTTAGTTTTTCTGAGACAGAGTCTCACTATGTAGTTCAGGCTTGCCTTGAACTCTTGATGATCTTCTTGCCTCAGCCTCCTGATTGCTGAAATTATAGGCCTGTGCCACTACACCCAGCTATTATGATTTACTAAACTAATATTTTTGATATCTCAATCTGAAAAATGAGGAAATATATGCACTCATACTTCCTACTACTTACCCTTGATTCTATTATTCATATATACATATATATGTGTGTGTGTATATACATATATATGTGTATATATATGTATGTATATTTGTGGGGGGTTTTGAGACAGGGTCTCACTATGTACTTGAGACTGACCTGGAACTCACTATGTAGCCTAGGCTGGTCCCGAACTCACAACAATCCTCCTGCCTCAGCCTCCTGTGTGCTGGGATTACAGGCATGCGCCACCACACCCGCCTTATTTATATTTTTATATTCCATAAACCATATTTACATAATTTTAGCCATATTTCTTTAATTAAATAAATTATATACTCATCTTTAGTCCTTTTTATACCTTTTTTATTTAAAATAAATTGCTCGGAGCTGGGGATTTGGCTCAGTAGTTCTGCTGCCTGCCTGGCAAGCAAAAGGTCCCGAGTTTTATCCCCGGTACCAAGAAAAAAAAAGGAATGAGTTCTAAAATAAATTGCTTGGGTTGGGGATTTAGATCAGTGGTGCCGCTGCCTGCCTCACAAGCACAGTCATGAGTTTGATCCCTAGTACCACACACACACACACACACACACACACATACACACACACAAATTAAATCTCAGGGCATGGTAGTGCACGCCTATAATCCTACCACTCAGGAGGCTGAGGGAGGATTGTCATGAGTTCAAGGCCAACCTATACTACATAGTGAGTTCAAGACAAGCCTGCAAGGGATTTAGCTCAGTGGTTCCACTGCTTTCCCTGCAAGTGCAAGGACCAGAGTTCGACCCGCAGTACAAAAAAAAAACCCAAACCCTCCCCACTAAAAAACAACAAATTTCCAAGTTCGATCCCGTAAAAAAAAAAAAAAAAAAAAAAAAAAAGACCATACAGACTATCCTGCATCTTGAATCATACAGTGAGGCCCTATCTCAAAACAAAAAAACCCACCAAAATCTTTAGCTGGGGATGGTGACACAGATCTGTAATCGCAGCACTTGGGAGGTGGAGGCACAAGGACTGCTGTGGGTTCAAGGCTACCATAAACTACATGAGACCCTGTCTCAAAAAACAAACAGACATGTCGCCACTTGCCTGGCAAGTGCAAGGTCCTGAGTTTGATCCCTGGTACCAAAAACAAAACAAAACACCAAAAACCAAAACTACCCCACAAACAAACAAAAAAAAAGAACAGACAAAAAAACCAAGCAAAAACAACAACAAAAAAATTGAGAACATCTAGTACACACATGTTGGAGAAGCCATGTATTCAAAAGATATTCCTTTCCTTTTCCTTTTTTTTTTTTCCTGGTACTGGGGATTGAACTCAGGACCTTGTGCTTGCGAGGCAGGAGGTGGAACCACTGAGCTAAATCCCCGGCCCCTTCATCCTTTTTTTTTTTTTTTTTTTTTTTTTTTTTTACAGCTCTAGGGATTCAACCCAAGGCCTAGCATAGATAACAGAAAAGTCCTTTACTACTGGCCTACATCCTCAGCCCTCAACAGATACTTCATGAGCACTTATTACATACTAAACTAATCACTAAACAGAAATGGTTCCTAGCTTGGCATGATGCCTGTAATTCCAGTGCTCTGGGAAACTGAGGCAGGAGGATGGCAAATTTGAGTCCAGCCGGGGAACTCAGTGACTCAGCAGGACCCTGCCTATCTCAAAATACAAAAATAAAGGGCTGGAAATGTAGTTCAGTGAGAAGTGCCTGAGTTTAATCTCTAGTACCATGCACAAACACACAAAAGAAAGTTCCTACCCTCACAAAAGCTAAATTTATATTCTGTAATTGCTGTCTTTTCTTTCTGGCTTTCTGTCTTTTGACATATGGGGCATTTAATATATGCAAGGATGCATAAAGATGTGCCTTCTGGTGGGCAGGGAGCAAGTCACTATGGGTGTAAACACAGCGCAGACTGTGGGCTGGAGGTGGTCAGAGTCATCTACCTGTGTTCCATGTAGCAGCTCAGAGGATCCACACATACTGTGATGGCACCAATGGTGAAGGAAGACTTGACATTTGCATCTGGGTGGGTTTGCAGTGCCTGAACCACATCAATAACATCTGTGTAGCTGAGGAGAAGAGAGAATGATTAGTCTACTGGCTGGGGTTACAGAGTTGGGGAAGAGGGGATCACTGAGTGGTCGGGTGAGCAAGGGCAGAAGAAAGAGCAAAAGGAGGAAGAGCCTGAAATTGGTGAGTGGGTCTCCTCTCCTCTCCCCCACCCCGCCCTCTGCAGGATCTTGCCATGTACTTCAGGTTGGTTTTGAACAGGCTAGCCTTGAACTTGCAGTGATCCTCTTGTTTCAGCCTCCCGAATGCTAGGATTACTGGTGTGCGCTACCATGCCTGGCCCATGTGATTGCGGTATTTGGTGTGATTGAGTTCAAGGCCCTGGGAACTAAAAAGTACTTCTGCATTTCTAAGTTCTGTTAGTTCTCAAAACTGCACAAGTAAATAGAAAAGGCAGCCCACTCTAGAGGTAGAAGGAAGCCTGCAAGTGACTTTGGGGCTCTGAAGGTGGGACTGAGTGTCCTTGGCCTGTTTTCCAATCATTAAGGTAGGAGGTCCTGGTGGTGTCTATTTTCCTTCATAGCTCTGTTTTCTCCTTCTTATCTCCCAGCAGCACCAGAGCTGTGCAACTCAGCAGACACATGTCAAATACCATTCAATTCCTACCTTCTGCCTGGAACTCCAGACTTAGAGTCATTTTGATATCTTTGCTTAGAACCCAGTATGTTCACAGTCAAATGCCCACAGCCTGCTCCTTCCGTAGCTTTGTTTTTCTTAGTGGGGAGAATACTTTTTCAGACGCTATGCCAAAAATTATGTTGGAGTCTTCATTAATTCCTTTTTGTTTTTTGAGACAGGGTCTCACTATGTAGTTCAGACTGCTCTGGAACTCACTGTGTAGCCCAGGCTGGTCTTGAACTTGCAGCAATCCTCCTGCCTCAGCCTCCTGAGTGCTGGGATTACAGGTGTGTGCCACCACACCTGGCTATTAATTTCATTTTTTTTCCTGTCTTCAACATACAACTAGAAAGACCACTGCTCACACTCCCCCACTATCCTGGGTCCAAACTGCTATTATTTCTTGCCTAGAGCACTCCAACAGCCTCCCAACTGGCTCGCCTATTTCTGTCTTTGTCTCTCTCTAATCTGTTCTCCATGCAGGAGCCACAGGAATACACTAAACCCTTGGTCAGATCAACATTGCTCTGTTCAAATCTTCCAGTGGGTTCCATCTCAGTGTGAAGGCCAAAGTCCTTACAATAGGCCAGGGAGCCCTTGGGATATGACCCCCCACAGGCAGTGAAGAATTTCATCTACCATCCTGTTCTTTCTCCAAATCCAACCACTTTGGCCTCCTGGCTCCTTCCTGAACATGCCAGGCATATTTCTACCTTTGTTTTTGTTTTTTTTTTTGTTGTTGTTGTTGTTGAGACAGTCTTGCTATGCAGTTTGACCTGGCCTTGAATTTACTAGGTAGTCCAGGTTGACCTTGGACTCATAGTGATCTTGCTGCCTCAGTCTCCTAAATACTGGGATTATAGGTGTGTACTACCATGCTTGGCAACTTCTACCTTTGTGCTCTCTGTCCCCTCTGTCTGAAATGTTCTTTTCTTCTGATACCTGTATGGCTTACTCTGTATCTCCCTTCTTGTCTCTGCTCAAGTGGTATTTTTTTGGTCATTGTTTTTGTGGTGCTCAGCATTGAACCCAGGGCCTATGCATGCTAGGCAAGTGCTCTACCACTGAGCTACATCAAGTGGCATCTCATGGGAGAGGCATCCTCTGATCTCAGATATCCTGTATCATCTGACAGTTTCCTTGCTCTGCTGCAATTTTGCTCCAAAACACTGATCATCAATCAGCTACATATCCTATCTTTATTTTTTTCTTTTATCCTGTGAGTCTCTTTCATTTGCTGTCTTTTCTCATTTGTTTAGTGACTGTCTTCACAATATGAATGTGAGGTCTTTGCTGAGTGCTGTAGCTCTGGTGCATCGAGTAGGGTAGATGTTTGGTCCCCAGCAGACCCTTGGCCACTCTAAGTAGGGACACAACTGCTTCACCTTATAGAAGAGAACAATGTTGTCCTGACTGACTCACCCTATCAACAAAAAGCCTAGTTCTATCAGGGCAAGTCACACTTCACGGGCAGCCTTGAGGATGGGATGGGCCTGGGTCTGTCTGGGACTTTGGGAGGGCAACAGGGGTTGCTGTGACAGTCCTGGCTTCTTGAGCCATTTCTCAAGTCTCTATCCCCGCCACCAAAAATAATTGTCTGTAGAAGGGCCCTTGGCTTTACCCAGGACAACAGCCCCTATCCACTCAGCAGGTCTGGCTTCAGTCCTCCTAACTAGTGGAGCTCAGGTAGCAGGCGGCACTCCCTTGTGAGCCCTGGTATACAGGGCCCTTCAGAGAGAGAGAGCTCTGCTCCTTGGCTTCTCTCCCTGCCTGGCCTGTGTGTGGCCACACTGGGCTCCTTCCTCAGCATTGTCTGGGTGGGCCTGGAGAGCCTCACAGCAGAACAGCTGTTAAGTGGGACCGACACTGCACACTGCTCCAAAGCTCTTCATGGACATTTTTAATGGATTTAACTCTCATCATTAAATGTCCCAGCCTTGATGCTTAGTATTATCTTTTTCACTTTTCTAAAAATAAGTGATTGGAGGCCTTTTCTTTTCCAAGTTCAATATAAGCAGTAGAGACTCATTAATTGCAAGGATTCCAGTCATTTTAATATAACTGGATTTTCCTTAGAGAGTGTGGCTAGGAATTCCCAGGTATTCAGAGCATTTAAATAACCATTAATTTCAATGACAAAGGCTGGAGAGAAAAACTGGTCCAAGGCTCCTTTGTGAGGCCTGTGAATTTGGGTACTGGCTCCAAAACAGAAGGCCCTGCCTTTCACCTCTTCATTCAGGAATTCTGTTCTCTCCTTTCCCTATCATGGCCAATACTCCACCTGGGCACAGCTTTCAGACTGGAAGAGAAGCCCTGGCTACAGAACAAAGCCCAGGCTCACACTGGAGAGTTTGGAACAGATTTCCTCGGCTAAAGTGACCCAACTGCAGAATGAAAAGTTAAAAAGTCTTTGTTTGCTTCTTTGTCAGTTTTCTCTTTATTAGAAATAACAACACAGCTTTAATCCCAGCACTGGGGAGGCCAAGGCAGGAGGATCACCTGGGCCACCTGGGCTACACAGTGAGTTCAAGGCCAGCCTGAATTATATAGTGAGACTGTCTCAAAACAAACAAACAAGCAACAACACAAGTTGGTGTGGCAGTATGGTGGTGCATGCCTGCTAACTCAGCACATCGGGAGGCTGAGGCAGGAGGACTGAATGTTGGAGTTCAGCCTAGGCAACTCTGTGAGACTTGTATCTCATAAAATAAAAATAAAAAGTAGGTTGGCCCTGGGTTTAATCCCCAGTACTTAAAACAACAAAAACAAAAACTAAACCCAAATTAAATCAAAACTCAGGACTTTAACTTTCCTTTGACACAAAAGATAGTCAAGTATCCCCTGGGTTCTTTTTTTTTTGTTTTGTTTTGTTTTGCGACAGAGTCTCTCTTTGTATGTAGTTAAGGCTGGTCTTGAAACTCATTATGTAGTCCAAGCTGGACTCAGTGTTCTTCCCTGCCTCAGCCTCACAAATGCTGAGATTATAGGAATGCAACACCATGCCTCGCCGGGCTGTTTTATGCTTGCACTTTAAGCACTTATGACTGGCCATAAGTTTTACACTAATTTTTTGCTTTGAGAAATACTTTGTTTTTAATGTAGATAACTGTAAATAATGATGTTACAACATTCTCTATCCAGATATAGACTTCAAATTCCTTAAATTCAGATTTCACGGTTTTATTTATACTGTATTTGTAAATTATGTTCTATACAACGTGTCATGGCTTATGTCTAGATGTCTCCTCAAAAGCCTCATGTGGTTACCGGTGGGGCTTTTCAGAGGTGGCCAGATCTAGACTGTATGATCCTGGGATCAAGGGTGTGTGATTACTATATTAGTCCACTGACTGGCTTGCCATAGTTCTGGGTGTGCAAAATGGGAAGGTCCACACTGACTGTGAATGCTATCCACCCTAAGGGTACGTAGCCTGGATAGAATATGAGGGGCAGAAAGAGGGCTGATGCCATGGCTTGCTGCTGCTTTACTACTTCACTGCTTTGCCACCTTCTGCCTGCCATGACTGTTTCTCCTCTGTGATGCCCTCTGCCAGGCCACCCTGCCTTGGAGCCAGCTGATTATGGACTGAAACCTCTACAAAATGTGAGCCAAAAGAAACCTTTTCTCCTTTAATTTTGGGTGTTGGGTATTTTGTCTCAGCAATGAGAAAAGTAACAGACACAATTTCATCATTTCTGTAGGCTCCATATGCACCACTACAATCAAGGTGCCAAATAGTTCCAAGGCCACAAAGATATCTTATGTTGCCCTTTATAACTACATCCACTTCCTTAATTTCCTCCTGACCTGACCGCATTTCAAGGACAGCCAAAACTGTCTAAAAAAAAAATGTTGTTTAAAATATGCTAATTCCATTTTTATTTGTTTTGGGGCTAGTCTTGAACTCATTATGGGGCCCAGGCTGGCCTTGAGCTCAGCCATCCTTCTGCCTCAGTCTCCAGTGCTGGGATTCCAAACCACCACTCCTGGCTCCCATCTCTTAAATTTTGGGACAGGGTCTCACAAAATTGTTAAATTGCCCAGATTGGGCTCAAACTTTTGACTTTCTTGCCTTAGCCCTCTGAAGTAATGGGATTTCAGCTGTGTGCCACCTCACAGTTGTTAATCCAGTTTTTAAAACAACTTTGATAACAGCTTTACTTGATGTCAAAGTTTAATACCACTGCTTTTACTATAGCACTACACTAAATTAAATGGGAACAGGTCACTCTAGGATCCAAAGGTTACTCTGCCCTATATCACAGGTTTTGTTCCATAAAATACTACAAATAAAAATATGGGCTGGAGATTTAGCTCAGTGGTGCTGCCACCTGCCTTGCAAATGCTAGGTCCTGAGTTTGATCCCTGGTATGGATTAAAAATATATATATAGTAAATGTATATTATAATATATAATACATATATATACACACACACACACACACACACACACATATA